ATAAATGTAATGCATTAAGGCAGCGGTTCTCAGCCTGTGGATCGCGACCCCTTTGGCGGTCGAACGACCCTTTCACAGGGGTCGCCTAAGATCATCCTGCATATCAGATATTTACATCACGATTCATAAGAGCAGCAACATTACAGTTATGAAGTAGCAACGACAATAATTTTATGGTTGGGTCACAACATGAGGAACTGTATTTAAAGGGCCAGAAGGTTGAGACCCACTGCATTAAGGGGATGGTCTAGGATGGTAGCAGGCTGTAAGTCTTGTGGGGAAATATAAAGCGAAATAAATGATTAGGGGAATGTGGGTGGGGGATTAAGCAGTTTCCAATTTAAACAGTGGTCAGGCTGGGCCTCATTGAGATATCTGAAAAATACTTTCTGAGACATTCGACATTTGAGCAGAGCACTGAAGAGGGGGGGTGACACGGAGGTATGTCTGGGGGGCAGTGGGAATGCGCTGGGGAAGGGGGACGGGGGGCTGGTTGAGAGGCTGCTGCGGCCACCTGGGGGAGCGGAGCTCCTGGCTCCTGTCACGGGGAGATAGCAGGGTACCTGGCTCTCAGGTTGCTGGGAAGGCTCAGTAAACTGCCCCTCCCGCCCCTGCCGGGCCCTGTGGAGATAGCCGGGCACAGCCTTGCTCTGGAGGATGCCCCAGGCACAGGGGAGGTGAACACGGACTCAGCTGTTGGAAGAGCCCAGATTCTCAGTCCTTCCCCGTTCCTTGCTTCCGGAAAGGCCTAAGGAGGTCACATGCCCTGGAGTGGATGGCAGGGTGTGAGTAACAGCTCATTCTGTCATCTGGAGTTGGAGAGGACACCTCCTCCGCCTCCCACGCCAGGCAGCTGGCTGACACCTGGACGGAAGATGCCTGGACACTCTGACGTGCCATCTGAGGCATTCAGCGTGGCCTGCTCAACCGCACACTGAGTGGGGACAGGCCACCCTTGCACCCTCACGGGGTGGGACTCCTAGAGCCGGCCAGGGCAGGGCTGGTCCATAGGCAGCTGCCATTTCAGGGATCAGGCCACTCAGACATCCAGGTCTCTGTTTACGAATAAGTAGGACAAAACCTACACTTGGGTGTGCTTCCGTCAGGAGCACGTGGTCCAAAAAAAGAAAACCTGCATCACAGACTATGGTTTTTTCACCAGAGAAAATATATAGGATTTCTCTTATCAAAACTGTAACTTTAAACCTCATATATGTACATTATAGTCTTAAAGAATCAAATAGAAATTTCATCCAGGGCAAGCTTAAACATGAATGTTTATATACACAAATAAATAAATTAAGTGCTTAGGTATACCTCTTGCTAATGCTTCATGACCAGCAATTATAAGTCAAACAGGGTCCCTGCCCTGGCTCTTTGTTGGTGTTGGTGTTGGTGGTCCAGGATAAGAAGTTTTACTTTTATTTTTCGATTGAAAGGTGATACACGAAGTGCATGGCTGAACCAAAAAGGCTCTCTCTCTTAAACGTAAAACTACAGTGCCAAATGGTCCTCCCCAAACGTTTGGGTAAGCGCACCTCTCTGAAAGGCAGCTAGAGCTCTACCCTCACGTTACAATCCACTTAGAAACCCTCCCTTCAAAAGCAGATTGCACAGCTGTCAGAATTCAGGTATTTTAATTTCATGATTCTGTCTCGTGAATATATTCACAGTTATATATAACTACAGCTCTACAGATCTTCTTTCCCAGTCTTCTTCCAAAGGTATTCCCTACAGACTTTACTTCCCTAAGAGCACCCTCTCCTCCTTCCTACCAGGCTAATGAGAATACTGCCTGTCACCAGGCTCCCACCCTTGTCTCTAAGAGCCCCTTCACCCCCGCCTGGACTTCTAGCAATAGTCAATGATTATTCCAAAGTGAAACACAGTCACTTCCTGGTCTCCTGCTATTTCACAGAGCTTCCAGGTTTTGCCATTGATGTTCACTGTAATCCTGTTACGTGGCCCCTGGGAAGCCAGAACAACAGCTTGGACAGGACAGGGTTCCAAGCCTGACATTTAAGCCAGGACTGCAGTGCTGGTGGCCGCAGCAAAGTCAAGCAATCCAGAAGTGCCTGCGGCAGTTATTTGAAGTTTCCCTTAAGCCTATTCCAGAGGCAGCAGTTGAACTGCAATGGTTTTAAGTTTCTGTGACTCTGACTCTTAGGGAGAAGCATACACATCCATATAAATATCTGAAACAAACACGACTCGCCCTCACTTCCTGGGCGAAGGCAGAAGCGCTTTCCGCTCTGTCCCCTGTTTAATCTTTGCTAGCGCCGGGAGGCTGAGGCATATGAAATAGATGTCTTTTCAGTCAACACGGTCAAATACAGGCGATTTCATATGATTCTACTTATTTGTGACAATCTCATTAATGGGCTGCCCATCGTTTGAAAAGCATTGTTTAGTGGGTTATTGTTATTTTTAACATTAAAATGGGATCGAAGTTCCCTTTTTTCACTTAATATGGCATGGACATCTTCCAGGCCCTTTGTAGCCCCAACTCACACTCCTCAAACCTACCACACACACGTACCCCAGCTTAGGTAATGATCCCCACTGAAGGCACTTAGATTTTAATTTATTTATTTTAGAGAGAGAGAAAAAAACATCAACTTGTGGTTCCACTTATTTATGCATTTATTGGTTGCTTCTCGTATGTGCCCTGACTGGGGATCGAACCTAAGACCTTGGCATATCAGAAGGATGCTCTAACCAATTGAGATACCCAGCCAGGGTTATACTTAGATTTCTTAGGGACCCGGAAAAACACTGCACATTACTGTCAGCCAGACCTGAGTTTAAATTGCTGTCTAAACAACTTAAGCTCTCTGCACTCCACCATCACATCTACAAAAAGGAACTAAACCTCTCATCCTGCCAGGAGGATGAAGCAGAAAACTCGGAGTGCTTTATACCAATTACAGAGAAGCCCGCCATTACCTTCCGCTGGTGCCTGGCTTCTCTTTTTACTCCTCACCGGAGGATAATTTTTCCATTGATTTTCAGACACGGTGGAAGGGAGAGGAGGGGGGAGAGAAATATCAGCGAGAGAGAGACACATCTATTGGTTGCCTCCCACATGGGGGATTGAACCTCAGACCCTTCGATCCGTGGGCCAATGCTCTAACCACTGAGCAACTGCCCAGGGCTGATGCCTGACTTCTTTCCCAAGCATGAGGCAGAGCCTTCTCTGTGCTGCCCGTTAGCATTTACCCATTAGTGGGCTGGGGAAAGGGCTCAAAAATAAGACAGTGAGACACACCTTTCTGAGTTTACAATTTGCCTAGTCCTGGCCGCAGTATCTTCCCTTCTTTCTGTACTTGATCATTAAAGTAAAGAACCAAACATTTCGACAGTCATTCTTTCAACAGACATTTATGGAGCATCTACTATTTGCCAGTCATTATGCCAAGCACCATGTGAGCCTCAACTTTCTCATCAATAAATCAAAGAATTGTGCTTCTTAATAGAGAAATGATGGGCATCTTGAGCGAAATAATTATTTGTGCAGGTCTGTCCCCTGCTTTCTCAACAACAGGTACCTATCTGGTAATTGGGACAATCCGATTGAGGCAGGATAGTAAGAAGCCAAGAAAATTCCCTGGCAAGTGGAATGGGGAAACACAAGTAGATGAACGAACTGGCTGACCAATTTACAGCCAGGAAAAGCCCAGGTGTCCAGCCACACGCAAAACTGGTGCCAGACCTCGCCCCCAGGGTGGCCTTTCCTCCCCTGGCATATGGCTGGCCATGCAGGTCAGACCCCTGACCTTTCCTCCCTGGCGATAACATCTAGGCCTCAGCTGTATTTCAGCTCCAGGCCCAGAAAAGCAGCAAAAGCAGGCAAGTGACACCAGGACCAGCTGTGATGAATAATGGCCCCTGCCTTGGTGAGGACCAATCAGTGGAGACCGGGACCTGAAAGGATAACCCGGAAGAGCTGGTGAATATTCGCTTGAGATCCGCCCCTAAGACCGCCCCGAAGTTCCCAGCTTTCAAACCCTCACGACTAAGGACCCAGCACATCTCTCCCTCCTGAGAGCAACTTGAGCCTTTCCCTCCCCTCTTGTTCCCCCACAGACAAGCACCTCTAAACTCTAAGGGCCGGACCTATGAGACTTGCAACTAGGAGAGCAATGGGCAGCAGCAGCTCTTCCCTGATAACCCCCTGAACCTGTCCCCGAGGCCCCCTTTTCTGACTCTCCAGTGAGCTGACAACAGCCCCGCCTTGACTCACTTCTTTTCTTTTTATGGGGGGGTGGGGGGGGCGCGGTTAACTTCTTTTCCATCACGTTTCTAGAGAGCCAAGCGGCCCAGCCTAGCCTCCCTCCTGCTGCTGCTTCTATTCTAAGCCCTCCCTGTTTCACTGACCCCGGCATTAATAAACGTGCTCGCAGAATCACCGGGACTCATGTTGTGAAACTGTCCCTGCAGCAGGTCAAGAACCCGCCTGCTTCAGGTCCAGAGGCAGACCCGCTCCCGCCCTGACCTGTAACAGGATGACGCCATCGCACATTTCCAGATGCCCCCTAGGGGGCACTTTCATCCTCCATGGAGAAACACCCCCCAAGCTCACCCTCCAGGATTCCAGGTGCAGGGAAAGGGGAGGCCCTGTGACTGGCAGGTTCAGGATGACGCCAGAGGCCCAAGATGCGGAAGGTCTGGACCACATTTCTGGGGAACAGAGCCTTACACTGGCCCCGGGATGAGCTCGGCAGCAATCCCGGGGCTATCGGTTACTCTCCATGCAGCCAAGACAAACCCAGGAACTTCAGGTTTCCGTCCCCAGCGGAGCCTGGGGTCCTGGGGAGGGAGGAATGGTGGAGCCCTCGTAACGCCAGCCCTCGGGGTGCGAAGGGTTACAGCAGCCCCCATCGCCACTAGAGGGGCCGGAGCAGCCCCGCTCGGCGACCTCGCGGTCACGTGAGAGCGAGGGCGGGACTAAGCGAGGGGTCGGCCAATAGGCTGTGCTTTCGGTGGGCGTGATAGCCAATAGGAGCAGGGAGAGGAGTCCCGGACTAGGAAGAAACAGCGGCCGGGAGGGGGCTGCGGGGACCATGGGCCTCCTGACCATCCTGAAGAAGATGAAGCAGAAAGAGCGGGAGCTGCGGCTGCTCATGCTGTATCCTCCCGGAAGCCGGAGCCGCCAGGGTAGCGGGCCCGGCCGGGCGGGCGGTGCTGGGCGCCCCCTACCGGGCGCGGGGTGCCAACTGCCCCTTGTGCGTCACGCACGTGGGTCCTACCAATCACTCGGCGGGGGGGCCGGGGGAGGCCGGACCAGCGGCTCGGGGCGAGCAGGCTCCGTTCCCAGGGCCAAAGCTGGGGGTCTTGGGGCGCAGCGGCCGGACAGGTGTCCCAGTGTAGGGGGAGGGGCCCGGGTGTGACTCGGCCGCCGCCACCCTTCGGTCTGGCCCAGCGGGGGCCGCTGTCCTCGGCTCGGCCCTCCTACCCCCGCCCGAGGGGTGAGGCCGCGGCCCCGCCCTCAAGATCGGAATCCCGGGGTCGCCCCGCCCTCAGCTCCTTGGAGCAGCGGGTGTCGCCTCCGCGAGGGTCCTTTCGCGGGTGGGTCGAGCTGTCCAGCCTCTGCTGCCCACGGCCCGTCGATGTCAGTGGACCCCGAGGGCCCCATCGACCTTCCGAGTCCCATTAACAGGCATCTGCGCTCTTCGCCCTACTCGGCCCCAGGCCCCATGCGGGGCGACTCTGAGAGCAAGGAGCTGGGCTGCCCTCACCCCGACTCCGCTAGCTACCTACGCAAATAACTCGAAAATAATATTCACAGCATGTCTGTTTTAAAGAACCTTGAGAAAGACACAGAATTCACTCATGCACTAAGTATTGAGCACCTACTGTGTGCTAGGCACTGTCCTAGGGGCTGGGGTAAAACAGCAAAATAAACAACTCCGACCTTCATGGCCAGTCTATAATGCTGGAGGGAGGACGGTGTTAATAACGTCAATGAGGAAATGTTTAGTATGGATGGAGAAGGAAGGCCGCATGGAGAAAGCGAAGACAGGGAGGGGAGGGTGGAACCGTGCAGACATCTGGGGACATTCTTTAAAGCAGAGGGACAGCAGTGCAAACTCCTCCCAGGAGGAGCCGGGATGGATTCTTCAGGGACTGACCTTGGCGAGAGCAGTTGCAGGGACGAAGTTGGAGCAAAAGCCTCGTGGGTTCCAGAAAGAGCAGAAGAGAAGTTGGAGGTGAGAATGCAAAGGTTTTGAGAGTTGCTGTTCAGGGAGGGACATAAAGGGATGCGGGAGCTCAAGGGCCTGGAGGTGCTGGAGCTGGGGGGCTGCAGCAGCATCACGGACACTGGCCTGCTGCTCATCGCCTGGGGCCTGAAATTTAATTTTTTTTTAAAAAAGGAGGATGTTTGCTTCTTCTAAGGTGGCAGAGGTGCCAAAGAGTTTGTCCGCTGAGGGAAATGATCCAGTGGAGAAGGAAATGTGGGTGATGAAGTTGGGGGGTGGGGAGGTGAGGGGATCATCAGTGGCCAATTATCAGGGGCTAAGGCTGGGTCTCGGGGGAGGTGCTCTGTCACCCCCATGTCACTGGCTTGAGTCACTTGCTAGGTCAGGTGAGCAGAAAGGCTGCTGAGTCCAGGGCCTGGGCCCCCGTCCCAGCTGCAGGCCCCGTCAGTGTGAGGAGAGGAGGGTGGTTCTCTCCTACAAAAGCCTTGAGACCCTCCAGAGGCCTTCCCTGGCGCCTGCGCTGCAGGAAGTCCTCTGAGGGCGCGCTCCAGCACCTCTTCCGTGTATCCCTTGTGTCTTTCTAACACTCGCCAGGACCTGACAGAACTTCCTCATTGGTTTACACTCTATCGCTGTCTCCACACAAGACCTTACTTAAGCTGCACTAGGGCGGACGTTGACTCCAGGGGCCCCCCAGCACCGGAAGGGGGCCTGGCACTTAGTGGGTATTCAGCAAATATGGAGCTCATTGAGGAGCCGTTGGTCAGAAGATAAGAGTCTTGTTTCTTGATATTTTAATGTTTATTGTGGGTCGGTTATGTGCTCAAGGGATTTTGATACGTGGTGGGAAATGACTTGTCCCATGAGAGAGGGGCACTGTCACCGAGTCACCACCCTGCAGAGAAGGGGTTTCTCCTTAACCGGGTGCGCCCCAGCGGCCTGGACAACGCCGGCAAAACAACTATCCTCAAGAAGTTCAATGGAGAAGACATCGACACCATCTCCCCGACCCTAGGCTTCAACATCAAGACCCTGGAGCACCGAGGGTGAGCGGGGTCCCTGCAGGCGGGCCAGCCCAGAGCAAGGCGGGGAGGGTGGGGAAGGGGCCAGGCTGACCCTCCAGGCACCCGCTCCCTGCCTAGATTCAAGCTGAACATCTGGGATGTTGGCGGCCAGAAGTCCCTGCGGTCCTACTGGCGGAACTACTTTGAGAGCACGGACGGCCTCATCTGGGTGGTGGACAGCGCCGACCGCCAGCGCATGCAGGACTGCCAGCGGGAGCTCCAGAGCCTGTTGGTGGAGGAGGTGGGCAGGGGGCCTGGCTGAGCGGGAAGGAGGGGTGGGGAGCGGGGCTTGCACCTGCATCCAGGCCCCAGTGCCTTGTGCACGTACAGGGACGTGTGGACAGCCGATCCCCTGAGCCCGTGCCCCATGGGCCACAGGTAGTTCATGCTATGGGCCGAGCCCCGAGTTCACACGCCTGTGATGTCACTGCTTCAGCACACTGAGCTTCAGTTTCCCCACCTCCAACCCAGCTTCAGGGAGGATGACTGCAGGCCAGTGTGTGAAGCTTTGGGAAGCAGCGGAGCCTGGCTCAGGAGTTAGCCTCTTTGCTGTGTGACCTCAGGCAAGGCCCTTAACCTCTCTGAACCTTCACTTCCTCATCTCGAAGGTGGGCATTATAATTGGAGTGATCTTATAATTTGTTGTCTGGGCCAAAACACTTTAAAAAGTAAAATTTTAGATTTACAGAAAAATTGCAAAGATAATGAAGAGAGACTATCCTGCTTCCCCATGTTGATATCTTCCATAATCACTGTATGTCAAAACTGAGAGATTAACCCTGGGAAGTTACTCTTGAAGAACTACAGCTTTTATTTGGATTTCACCAGTTTTCCCCCTGATGCCCTTTTTCTGTTCCAGGATTTGATCTAGTAAACTGCACTCCATTTAGATGAAACAGGGACACTTTTGAGAGGGAAAGAGGGAGTTAATGATGAGGAGACAACAGGCATGAACGGGGCTGTCCTGGGCACACAGGGACACATGGTCACCTGGCATAACAGTAGCTGCCTCCCAGGGTGTCGAGCAGGTCCAGTGAGATAAATGCCCAGCCCGAGCTAGATCCCTGCACATGGAGCAGCTCCCAGGACTGAGCACATGGAAGGAATAACTGGACTTGGAGGCAGAGCGGCCTGGCAGGGCCGTGGGGCAGTGGAAGGGCTCCATGAACGTGCAAGAGGGAAAGGCCCTTCCCAGCAGACCCTGGCCTTTATTTTACACATCAGCTCATCAGGTGGAGCATTCGAGACCACAACGGTCTCTTGGATCATGTTATCCATCACCCCCTGCCCATTTATGGAAGAGGAAACTGAGGCATGGAGGGAAAGGTGCCCACTGGGTGGTTATTGGACTAGAACCAGGGCCCTGGCCCAGCCCAGGGCTCCATCACCCCATGAGCGCCCGGCCTCAAAGGCAGTGTCCACACTGCCTACCCCACTCCCACCACCACGCTGCATTGCCCTGGTTTTCCAGGTTGGTCTCCGACTCCAGATGCTCAGGGCAATTAGATGAGGAGCCGGGCTGCTCTCTGAGCCCCGTCCCCCCGTTTGTCTCCCCAGCGCCTGGCTGGAGCCACCCTCCTCATCTTTGCTAACAAGCAGGACCTGCCTGGAGCACTATCGTCTAACGCCATTCGCGAGGTGAGTTCAGGCCCTGGCGCAGGCCCATGGAGGGAAAGAGGCACGTGTTTGTTAATTTATTTTATTTATTTTAAAAAAATATATTTTTTATTGATTTCAGAGAGGAAGAGAGAGATAGAAATATCAATGATGAGAGGGAATCATTGATCGGTTGCCTCCCGCACGCCTCCTACTGGGGACCAAGCTCGAAACCTGGGCATGTGCCCTTGACCGGAATCGAACCCGGGACCCTTGAGTCCGCAGGCCGACGCTCTACACACTGAGCCAGACTGGCTAGGGCTGTTAATTTATTTTAAAAGCATTGTGAGCCCCGCTGTGTGGCAGGACCTCTTCGGGGCCCTGGAGATTCCGTGATCAGTAAGAGTAGTGGCCTCACAGGCTGGAGGCGGGCAGACTGCAAATAGGTGATTCCACAGGATAAAGTAGCCAAGTCGTGAGTGCTTTCTGTGTGCTGGGCTCTTTGCCTGGTTCAGTCATTCAGGTCCCACAACCACCTCATGAAGTAGGAGCTGTTATCATTCTGCAGATGGTGAAGCCGGCTTAGCGAGGTCAGGTAACTCGCCCAAGGTCACACAGCCAACAAGCCAGGGTTTAAACGCAGGCCTATCTGACCCCAGAGTCTTAACCTTTACTCTGGAGCTTCAGCACCAGAATGAGAAAGAGTGGGGCCCTGGCCGGTTTGGCTCAGTGGATAGAGCGTCAGCCTTCGGACTCAAGGGTCACAGGTTCGATTCCGGTCAAGGGCATGTACCTTGGTTGCGGGCACATCCCCAGTAGGGAGTGTGCGGGAGGCAGCTCATCGATGTTTCTAACTCTCTGTCCCTCTCTCTTCCTCTCTAAAAAATCAATAAAATATATTTTTTTAAAAAGAAAGAAAGAAAGAGTGGGGTTAGAACCTTGGTTCTGCCCCTTACTGGCTGTGTGACCTTAGACAGGTTGCTTAACCTCTCAGCTGTGGTTTCTTCCTTGGTCAGTGGCCAGCACAGGCGCTGGCTAGTGTGGCCTTGGGAGGAGTGGATGAGAGGACATTGTGGGGCCCACAGCACAAGGCCCGGACCCTAACAGACGCCTGTGTTGCTGTTTTCTTCCTAAGGGGTAGCGCTGGCCTGACAATGTGCAGAGAGCCCGGTGTGGGGGATCTTCACTGGGGAGCAGGGGAACTTCCCAGGGCAGGACCTGGAGACAGCACCCGTTTCCCCTGGGCCAGGAGAGGGGCGGAGCTGCGGGCGGGCTGGGCGCTTCCCGGGCCCCACCAGCACTTCCTCCCTTTCAGGCCCTGGAGCTGGACTCCATCCGAAGCCACCACTGGTGCATCCAGGGCTGCAGCGCCGTCACAGGGGATAACCTGCTGCCCGGCATCGACTGGCTCCTAGATGACATTTCCAGCCGCATCTTCACAGCCGACTGAGCCGCTCCAGATGCCCCCACCTCGCAGTCCGGGCCCCCTGTACCCCCGACCCTCACCAAGCACCACCCATGGGAGGATGGGAATCAGCCAGCCCAACTAACACTCCACGCCCCCTCCGTAACCTGCTGCTGCTGCCCACTGCTGCTCCATGGCCAGCCCAGATCCCATGGCGGGTGGGCTGCTGCCCTGGCTGTCACCCTGGCTCATGACCCGGCCCACCTGCAGCTGCCAGACCAAGAGACAAGGGCTGAGGCTGGGAGGGGGCTACCTCTGCTGCTATCGAGACTATGGGCCTCGTCCTTGCTCAGCTGTGAGAATAAACTGTTCCTTGTCCTGAGTCATTTGCTAATTCAACAGCTTTAGAGACCACCTAGGGCCCACAGTCCAGCGGGGGACAAAGGGACAGATCACTTCAGTCAGAGGGTTAACTGATGCTGTGTGTAAGGGATGTGCAGAGTATAGAAGCATAGGACCGGGCTGCAGTTATTGCCATTTGGAAGAGTCCAGGCAGGCTTCCCAGAGGAGGTGACATTAAAGCTGGGAGTAAAGGATGAGTAGGAGTTTTCTGGATAGAGGAAAGCGAAGGACAGTTTAACAGAGCGACTGCTACCCTCAGAGGTATGGATTAGAAAAAGGGTACACATACACCCCTACATCAGGACTCAGCTTCTTGAATGGAACACGGACTGAATTTCAGCTCCCAACTTCCTGCAGCAGCCAGGAACCCACATGCAGTGGACAGCCTGCAGGCTGTACAAGGCAGCACAGGTTCAAGCAGAGGAAATCACATGACAGGAATAAAGAGCAAGGGCTCTTGGGAAATAGGGAGTGGTGAGGACACAAGCGGGAGGAGCTAACCAAGAGCAGAGCATGGAAGGGGCCTTCCTGAAGGCTCTAGGCCAGTGGTTCTCAACCTTCTGGCCCTTTAAATACAGTTCCTCATGTGACCCAACCATAAAATTATTTTCGTTGCTACTTCATAACTGTAATGTTGGTACTGTTATGAATCATCATGTAAATATCTGATATGCAGGATGGTCTTAGGCGACCCCTGTGAAAGGGTCGTTCGACCGCCAAAGGGGTCGCGACCCACAGGTTGAGAACCACTGCCCTAGGGCACTCTCTGAAGCAGGGCTGGTCTGAGGAAGATGGGAACAAGGGCGCCCAGGATGGCAGGACAGACGGATATTCCACAGGGACCGGTGCTGTGGTCTCAGCAGTGGCTGCTGACCCTGCAGGCTTCTGTCCGAAGACCCGCACTTACTGTCACGTTGGAGAATGGCCTGAGGAGTACAGACTCTCAGTATTCCATTGGCAGTGTGCGGGAACGCGCCTCCCGGAGGCTACAGGACTTGCTCAGAGCCACCCAGCGAGGAAGGGGGGGAGCTGAGACTTGGACCCAGCACACTTAGCCCTATAACTGTTCTCAGTGTTTGTCTCTGCTTAAAATGCAAACTGCAGGGAGAGGGTCTAATGAGAGCAGGGCAGTTCTGCCAAGGGAAAGGAGGAGGAGACACTGGATTTCCTCCTGAATTAGCTCTGGGAGCCCTTCCTGGAGGGGTAGAAACCTGTGCAAAATCTGGGCTCTGTTAGGGTGAAAGAAGGGAGGTGGGAGGTGGGTGGACACCCTTAGAACATCAACTGTCCTTCAGGGTGGAACATGACAACCGCCTGCCCTGTCCTCTCTGCAAGACAGACACCATGGCCATCACACTCCCAAATCTTGCGCTGAGCGAACGTATCCAGGCTCCGGCGCCAAACCCCAGCTGTGCTACTCACTGGAAGATGCTGAGCAAATCACCCAGCCTACCTGGGCCTCAATTTCCCCAGCTACGAAAAGAAAATGGTGCCGACCTCCTAGGGTTGTGATGAGGACCAGAGGGGTGGGCGTCTCGTGTCTTAAGCACGGTATAAAGCTAGCTATACTTATCATATGAGCCAGTAGGAGCGCAAACAGACCCAAGCAATGTGAACTCAGCCATCCACTGGTCGGGGTGAGTCACCCGTGTTCAAGTCCTCCTGGGGGCCCTGAGTCAGCAGCATCCTTGATTTAAAGAGTGAATTACGCACGTCAGGAAAATAACGAGGCTATTATACTCCTCACAAAGGCCTATGGACGGGGAGTTGGAGCTGTGGCCGAAAGGCTGCATCACATGGTCAAGCAGGGCGAATGTGGGGAGCAGCTCCCCGCAGCTGCACGCTGGCGGCGCTTCCCTCTCCCTACCTCCTTCGAAGGCTCTTCTGTTTGCTTCTCCCAATAACAGAGCCGGTGGAGTTTGGTGATCTGGAGAAGGCCAGAGACTACGCTGATCTAGATAGGAAAGGCTTTGAAAGGGGCAGGAAGAAAGCAAGCAGAAAGGGGAGCATTGGGAGCTACTGGGTCAGGAGGGGAGGTAATGATGGGTGAGAAGGAGACTTGGAGACACAGCCCTGCCCAGAAAGATCTGGAGAGCAGCAGCCATGTCTAAAGGGGTCTTTAGAGGAACCCCATCCCAGCCAACTCCCCAACCCCTCCTAGATGAACTACCTCATTTCTGAGTTTCCAAGAGTCTGATTTGGGATTTTGCTGTGTGTTTCTTTCTAGAAACAGCGTCCACACATCTGAGTTCTCGTAACAAGAGATGCACGTTTAAGCGCTTCACCCATAGTCAGGGTCCGTGACGGCCTGCCCCGGAGCAGAGCACACCTGCCTTTCGTCGGAAGGACATTTCTTGGGAGGATACTGGGGACTCACGGCTTCCTGATGGAGACTGGGTGTCCAGGCTTGGAAAACAGACGGCTTCAGAGGCTGGGCAGCCAGTCCACAGCCAACACTGTACTCCAGGGACACCTTGGTCTCCTTGCCAGGCACTGCGCCCTCTGTCCTTCACTCGAGATTCAAGGTCTCAGGAGAGAGTCCCTCACCCCCACCTGGGACCTGGGGCAAGAAAAGGAGGTGACACCTTTAGATTCTGGAGCAGGAGGCTGAAGGGCTACACATACTACAGAGCTACCTCCAAAATGATACTAACAGGAAGGGAGGAAAGAAACACCCACAGTGTCTATTATCAATATCCCCATTCTAGGGATGAGAAACTGAGGCTCAAGTCGTTATGGGAAAGTCGTACAACTCGTAAGAAGCGTAACTTCAGCGCCCTTGACACCAACGTGCTTCTCCGGAGTTCTTTTTGCGCCCCCCATCCTTCCAGAAAACATGAACTAGGGAATCCCAGGGAGGGAGACAGGAAAATAATTGAGCTATGTCCGGCACATATAGGACACGATAAAAACTGGGCGAATGGATGCAAGGGGATTGGGAAGCAGCGGAGAAGCCGTGTGGGGATGTGCGATGAGGGTCACTCTCGGATGGGTGGACACCTCCCCATCCTTAGCCTCAGATCACCCAGTTTACGCTTTGCCAACGACCAGACCTTTTTAGACGCTCCCTTGGCCGCGCGCCCGGCCGCGAACGGCGCCGTCACTTGCGACCAGCTCCCTGGGCGGGAGGATGCTGGGCGCAGGCCCGCGAGAGGCTGCGTCTGGCAGCGGCTGACCCGGAGGGGCGGGGGCGGCGGCGGCTCGCCCCGGCTGGGCTGCCATGTCCCGCCGAGCGAAGGACGACTTCCTGCGGCACTACACCGTCTCCGACCCCCGGACGCACCCCAAGGGCTACACGGAGTATAAAGTGACCGCGCAGGTGAGGCGGGGCCAGGGGCACCTGACCCTCTCAACGGGAGAGGGGCCGTGCTGGACCTTAAGGCAGGTCGCGGCTGCAGGCTCCTTTTGGAGGACAGAAATAGGCGTCCCCTTTAAGCGGAGGTGTAGGTGCGAGTCTTCTGGGGCCTCTGCCGCCGTCAGGGGGCGGAGCCAGGGGAAGGCGCTGTTCTCTTAAAGGGGCGTGGACTGCAGTTCCTGGACCTGAGCGTTGGGGTGCCCACGCCCCAAGTGTGGTGTCTGGGCATCAGGCTGTGAATTTCTTTAAATTAATATGAACGCTCTGGCTCCACCCAAATATTAGTTAGTTCTCCAATCTCTCAAAGTAAGTTTTGTTTTTTGGTTTGTTGGATATTTACATAAAAGCCCTCTAAAGAGTTTATTTTAAAAATATTATTAAAAAAAAACTTGTCTATGACTTTAAAAATTCATAGAGTTCACCCGGCTGGTGTGGCTCAGTGATTGAGCCTCGATCCATGAACCAGGAGGTCAGGGTTCGATTCCTAGTCAGGGCACATGCCCAGGTGGTGGGCTTGATCCCCAGTAGGGGGCGTGCAGGAGGCAGCCCATCCATGATTCTCTCTCATCATGGATGTCTCTCTCCCTCTCCCTTCTTCTGAAATCAATTTAAAAAAACACATTAGTTTTTTTAGAAAGGAGCAGCCATTGAATACATAAATAAGTGGAACAACAAATTGATGTTTCTCCCCCCTTTCTCTCTCTAAAATCAATAAATGTAAATTTTTAAAAATAAAGTGATTGTTCCATTTTATACTCCCATTCTTGCCAGCACTTGCTATCATCAGCATCTTTAATTTTAGCCATTCTTGGTGGGTGTGGAATATCTCACTGGAGTATTAATTTGCATTTCTCTGATTAGAAATGATGTTGAGTGTATTTTCATTATCTTATTGGCACCCTGGCCAGTGTGGCTCAGTGGTAGAGTGTCAGCCCACGCACCAACGGGTCTCACGTTTGATTCCCTGTATGTACCTGGATTGCAGGTCGGTCCCAGGCCCCAGTCAGGCCACGTGCAGAAGGCAACCAATTGATATGTCTCTCTCACATCAATGTTTCTCTCTCTCTCTCTCTCTCTCTCTCTCTCTCTCTCTCTGTCTCCACCCTCCCTCCCTTCCACTCTCTCTAAAAATCAATGGGAAAAATATCCTTGGGTAAGGATTAACAAAAGACAACAACATCACAACATAATCTTATGGGCCACTCATATGTCTTTTTCTGAGGGATGTGTCCATTCAAGTATTCCGCCCATTCTGCCTGATTTTTGAAGTTGGGTTGTTTGTCTTATCTTTTTGTAGTTCTTTGTATTCCGGATATGAGTCCTTTGTTAGGTACATATTCCTCAATGGTTTTTAAAACAAGCTTCTTCTACTTTGAAAACTGTCAAGTACTCCAAGCTGTAGGATGTTATTTTCAAATTATTACGAAGGAAACAGTGAATTGGAGTCTTCTTACTACCTCAGGCTTGTCTGCTCGACCAGGGGTCACAACCCAGTGATGGTTTGTCTTTGCCCAGGAGTGTCCATCCACAGAGGCTCCCTCCTTTAGGAAGGAGTGTCCTGGGACAGAACCCCACTTTTTAGAGAAGCTGCAGGGACTTGGCCCTTTGAAGGAACTGACATAAAA